ACGTGTTCAGCTGCAGAGTGACTCACGTGGGGACAAAGAAGACATATATTTGGGGTATGAGTGTTTTCACTGTGTCTGTGTGTACGTGTTGTTTCACAGGTCACAGTAGGTTAGAAAATATTTTGCTAAATGTTCTTAGTCCTGTATTTTAGTTTTGTACACACATGTCATCTATATTTATATATTTATTTCTTATTTCAGATCATGTATTTATTACATTGACTAACATTGTTTACAATAAACAAAACTATGGAATAAAAAACAGTTCAGAAACAGAACAATTACAGAACATAGAACATTGTGCAAGTTCTTAATACTCCATTCATCACTCATTCAAGCGCTCATTAATAAACAAGCCAATAAGAACAAATTTGTATTCTCAGATGTTGCAAAAACACATTTTATATTTTCAAAGAGACGCTGAAATGTTTTTGCATCATGTTTCATCAGTCAACACTTGCCTGGTTTAACGACCATATTGAAGTTTTAAGTTGAAATTGTTGCTGTTTGTAGCAGGCTAGCATCACAGCTAGCATAAACATGTTTTAATTGTCTCGTTTCAGAGGCAGATATGTAAGTTCTACATGTGTCCAGCTCCAGGTATGTATGTGCTCATCATACTTCAATATAATGACGTTACATTGTTGTGGAGGAGTGTGGCTTGTGTCTGACAGCAGGGAAGCTACAGTCAGATCATAGCAGTGTGTTTGCAACCGTGCCAGCCACCCTCCCCTGAATCGCTGCAGGTGACCCACAAAGCACTGAGTGATAGACAACATTTGTGTTATGTTTGTGGTCCCCACAGGTCTGCTCAGCAGGATGGAGAAGATTGGAATTTTTCTGGAATCTTGAAAATGTCTAAAGTAATGGATTTGATTATGCAACCGTTTGAGCTTCACAAAATGAAAACGCTGCACTTCCATGGGCTCAGACAGCAACCATCCTTCAGCTTCATCTTTGACACACAGCGCCACAGCAGCATGCGTTAATCCACTCAATTTTGCGTCTGCTGTCAAAAGTGAACACAAAGTATCAACATCGACAGCAGGCGTCATGTTTGAGACGTGCCCAGCTTACTCCAGTCACGTAGCTGAAACCCAAATGTTCCCCGAGGCCAAACTAAATGTATTTTCTGAGCCTTATTCTCTTAAAACAGCTGGAAGACAGAATAACCTGTAACTACACTTTGCCTTTAACACATCCAGAACGTGTGAAGCACCTGATCTGAGTTTTGGCATCTGCTGTGAAACGTCTGAATGTGTGTTTCCTACAGTAGGAAACACACATTCAGGTGGTGTCTGTGGGTGTGTCTGTGGGTGTGGTTGTCCATGGAAAAGTGCAGAAGTTTTGAGGATTTGATTAGTTATGGATTTCTCTTCAGATAAATATTCCTTTAGGAATCTTGTTTTGATCTGAGTGTCGACTTTGTGGTGGTGGTGAAACTGAAGTGTTTGCATTGCTCGGTGATTTTTAAGGTGAATCTATACAGATCAAAGACTTTCATATTAATGTTGTAATAAGGTAATCAATGTAAATATGTATCCAATTTGAAAATGTTTATTTTACTAAAACATGCTTTGTTGTTGAAATGACTCCAAACGTGACCGTTTGTTAAGTTAAGCAGATGGTTCCTGTTTGTTCTGACATATTTTATGCAAAATAAAACGATATTGGTTTAATTCACATTGGACGTCCAGCTGTGCACAGCGAGTTATTATAATAGTGATGTTAAACTGTGTCATGTGACCTGGCGTAGAAGAAGTCCTCCCCTCGCCGCCTCCACGTCACAGCTAAGAGAGGTTTAAGGTCCTAATATCAACCTCATAATCTGCTAATAATATTTATTCTTAAGCAAAGATGAATCAAAATATACGTTTGTTCACTGTATAAATGAGGAAATGGGGTGACGGTGAAGTTAACAGGTGGAGCTGCTGGGTTCGTGCATGGCTGCTCATTTTCCTTCTTAATGGTTTAGCAGGAAGGCAGCTGGATGCGAGTCTCCTCACCTGCATCAACTACACTCTGCATACTTGCTGGGTCACACTCTCAGTCAGGACTTTTTAACATCAGAGAGCCAAGTCCGACTTCCTGTGTGGGGTTGTGTCCCTGCAGGTGATACAGTCTGTGTGTTTGAAGCTTGAATTCTTCCGTACATGAGAAAGGTCGTTGTTTCTCACCACTAAACGGTTTTTAATTCTCAATTCACTGGAGAATCCAGGAGAATCTCAAGAAGATCATTTAGTATATTTGGGGTAACGTATGTTTTCACGCTTTATTGACTTTTTGGTGTAAAAAGGAGACGGTGTAACATCTCCACAGAGCAATCTGGAAACGACACGTTTGGATCTAAATTCAGACAAATTCACCAAAACAATCGAGGTGGATTCAACTGTTTGATAAAAGTTCTTTATATGATTTAACTACAAGAATAGAAACAGCTGTTCTTACTGACAGGCCTCGTGAGACCCCCACCCACCCCACTGCCTCCACCAAAAGCAGCAGAGCACTCTGCATCTCCACCTGTGACCTCATGATCCACCTGCAGGTGGGCGGAGTCTGGACTCCATGTGTTCAGGTTGCAGGACAGGTGGACACCAGCACATCAGTGTGAGGGGTGGGCTTCCTGAGGCCCTCCTGAGACTGCAGAGTCTGACCTGAGCTGCAGAAAACTCCAAACAAGAATCAATAACACAATAAGCTGTTTGACACTGGCAGAGAATATTTTATATATAAAGTTTATAATAATATAATATAGGGATTATTATAAAGTTTACTGGGCACGACCTGCAGCTCTGCGGGTCAACACACAGATGCAGCTCTTTACTTCTGAATGATTGTGCCACGAGCTTTACTGCCAGTCAGCGTCATTATAACAAAGAGCTGACCAAACAAAACATCCTTATTGTGTAAGTTTACATATATATACAATTAAATTACTGTGTCTAAATTAAATGTATGTGTGTGAAGCGTCGTAGCAGAGCCCTGCGTGGGATTATTTCTGCTGCATTTGCTGCACAAACCCACAGCAGGTTTTACTGAACGTGTTGCTGCAGTAATGCCCGTGTCATGGTCGCGGGGGCGACCTGTGTGTGTGTGTGTGTTTCTCTCTCTCTCCTCCTCCACCCAGTGGCTGACACACCTGCACCTAATTTGCCACCCAGCTGTCACTGATCATCCTTCGTTGTGGGCTGAGGTATTTAACTGTGTGTCCAGATGGCAGTCGACGCTGGATTGTACT